GTTTTGGCGGGGGGGAGGACCGGAAGGTGATACCGGTCTGGGGATATACCAGGGGAGTGCGTTCCGTGCGTTGGAGGGTCGGTAGTACAGTGGGGGTTAGAAGAAGTGGAATGTCGTACAATCCTGCGGGCGCTGCTCGTCCTCCTCCTCCTCGTCCTCCTCCTCCCACTAGCACCGCTCCTATCCGCGGGGTCGTTGCTTCTCTTTCCCTGAGCTCCCGATCTCTCCCCTCCCCCTCCCCCCTCCCCCAGCCTTGTGCCTGGACAGCCCCTCACTGGGTTCCAGTCAGCTGATGTGGCAGCAACAGCACCGGCCGGACAAGGCCGCACACTCGGACCGCTACCACAAGGTGGGGTGCTAGCGGGGTGTGTGTGTGTGTGTGTGTTGGGGGGAGGAGGACGCAGGGGTCGAGGGGGGGGGAAACCTCAGGAAATTGGTGACGTGACGATGAGGAGGAGGTGGAAGATAAGGACGAGGGGTTTGAGCCCCTGAGCTAACTGTAACTCCAATAGACCTCATATGACCTTTGCCGCCGGTCTGCCACAGACCGCCCGGGGGTTGTACATCTGGTGGGAAGGCTCCAGTCGGCTGCTGCTGGTGGATATCGCCGCCGCCGCTGCGGCCGCCGCCGCCGCCGCTTCATCAGCTTCCGCCGCCGCCGTACGACCCGCACCCGAGGCCGAGCCGTCTACCGCATCGGGTACCTCCGCCGGCAAAGCGGCCCCCGGCAGTAAAGCAGTTAATAAGGCCGCAGGGGGGGGCGGGGACTCTGCCGCCGCCGTCGCTGCTGCTGCAGCGGCGGCGGGCGCCAACCCCGTCGTTGCGTCCGCGCCGCCGCCAGGCGAGCCCTGCGGCCCGCCGCGAACACCGCAAGTCGCGCCGCTGGCGCGCGACTGGATCTTGCCGTACAACATCACGGCGGCGGCGGCGACGTCGGACCGGAGGACGTTGGCTTGGGGCCTTGCGGACGGATCCGTGTTGCTGCTGGACGACCGGGCGGGGTGCACCACCAAGGTCCTCCCCCGCCTGCGTGGCGCCATTACCGCGCTGGCCTGGGTCAACGGCGTGGCGCACAAGCTCATGTGTGCGTCCGCCGCGGGGGACATCTTCATCGCGGATATCATCAAGCCCGAAGACAGCAGCCAGAAGCCGTACGAGTTCCCCCAACCCATCCACGCCATATACTTCCTTCCCAACGAGCCCTTTGCGCTGTGTGTCTGTCGCGGCCACACCTCCTCAGATGGGGAGCTGGCCGCGAACGGCAGCGCCAGTCGGAACAGCGTTGGCGGCGCTGCTGCCGCCGCCGCCGGCAGCGGCAGCGGTAGTGGTGGTAGCGACGGCGGCTGTGTGGGAAATGCGCTGGCGGTGAAGGCGGTCCGTCCCCGGATAATGTGGTACAATGTGTTGGAGGAGAAGCCGGTGGCGGAGCTGATGGGGCCGCAGGCGGGACAGAGCTTCGGGCTGGCGTGCTGCGTGCCGCCGCCGCCGCCACCCCCGCCGCCGCGGCCGCCGTCGGCGCCGGAGGCGCCGACCAGCCCCTCCGCCGGCTCTGCAACGGGCGGCGGCGGTAGCAGGAAAGGCACGCCGGAGCCGCCGTCACCCCACGCCCGCCAGGCGATGATGGCCGCGCTGGCGGCGATGGGCGCAAACGTTCATTCGGGTCCCCAGCTGGTGCAGGTACCGCTGCCGGTGCCGGCGGGGCAGGTGGTGCCGTATCCGGCGTTGGCGGTGACGGACACGTACCTGCTGGTGGGCGGCGACCTGGTGGACAAGGTTGTGTACTCCAACTTTGCGGACGCGGATGCGGTGCCTCAGCGGATCCTGTTGCTGTACATGTACAAGGTGGATGCGCTGCTGCGACACCTGCTGCCGGAGGACGAGACGCATTCTAGGTGGGCGAGTGGGAGGGAGGTGGTGGGAGGGAGGACTTGGGAGAGGGGGGGAGAGGGAGGGAGGGAGGGGGCAAAAATGAGACCGGAATCAGGGCGGTGAGGGAGGGCTGGTGGACGGTTAATGTGAGGCGGGGCGTGTGAGGGTTTTGGTGAGCCGACCCTAGGGTTCTCTTCAGACCGATGTTTGTGGTTCCTGCACGATCCCCTTTCCTTGATCTGACCATTGGACTGGACTGGCCTGCCATTGGCCTCATCTGACGTGATCCGTCTGTTCGTCCGTTTGTCGGTCCGCAGGTTGGGTCGGGTGGTTCTTGACCGGCTGTTGGCAGATTTGGAGGCGCCCAAGGTCAACAAGCGCAAGGGTGAGTGCACGGGGGTTGGGGGAGGGGGAGGGGGGAGCTATGGCGGGGAAAGGGAAGGAGGAGCACGGAGGGGGCGCTCTGCTGGGTAGTGAAGGGCTGTCAATGAATGTATGAACCTTAACAGCTTGCCGCCACGAACCCCTGACACTCGTTGTTGTTGTTGGTAAGGCCATTGCTTTGATGGCGATGATGATGATGGTTCCAAATGGACGCGAAGATCAAGGAAGCATTGCGAGAGCTTAGCCTCCTGGCCGTCACGTCAGTGGCCCACCCACCCCAACACGTCCGCAAGCCCCTCTCGCACGGGCCCCTCGTCGCCCCCTCCCTTTATCCGCACACTTCTTTTCCTCCTTACCTCTCACCCACCCTCTCTGTTCCTCCCCCCTCCAACCTCCTTTTGTCCCTCTCCGGCCCGGGGACCACAGGTAAGCGTGTTACCTTGGACGTGGAGGACACAGACACCCCCAAGCTGCCCTCCTCCATGCGCAAACCCGACCCCTTCGACCCGGCGGCACCGCGACCCGCGGGTCGCGCCGCCAACCGCCACATCACGTTTGGCGCCATCCCCGACGAGTTATTCGACGACGCTGGCAAGGTGCCCAAGGAGACCAAGAAGGTGTTCCCAAAGGAAACCAAGAAGGGCCTCAAGACGGGACCGGACGACCCGGCACTGGCAAACAAGGACAGAAGGGTGAGCTCCGCGGGCTGAAGAGGCTGAAAGAGAAGGCAATAACGGCTAAGGAGCTAGGGCGTCAGTGGGGCCTGGGGCTGCGGCACGGGCGCTCATGCTCGGGGTGTTCCACATCTCTACTCGAGAGAGATAGGGAGAAAAAGTAGAGAGGTATTCAAAAGACGCGCAAGCTTCCAATCCCCAATTCGCCAGCCTCTCTCCCCCCGCCCCACTCGTCCTTCCGGTGTTCTCCCTTCCCTTCCCTTCCTGAGCTCAGGGTTCCGACGGCAAGCCCCGACTCGCCCCACTGGATTTGGAAAAGGCCCGCGAGGCTCCGCCTGCTTTTCAGGAGCGCAGTCAGTCGCCCCCGTGGCACCACACCAACCCGCTGGCTCGCATCCACCCCGACTGGGAGGAAGCCCCCGTGCTCATTCGCATCATGGAACGAATCGGCTCCAAGGGCGGTGGGCGCAAGCGGCGAGAGAAGCGGCTGGATACGCTGACCGGGGAAATGATGGCCAAGTACGCCAAGGAGGCGGGGGCCAAACCCAATCTGCTGGTCACGTGAAGTGTCACAAAGCGGCTCTCGCGGCGGTTGCTGGGCGGAGGACTAGCAGGTCACCACACGACGTCACACTCGACCAGGATGGCAGATTGGTGAAGTCGGGTGGAGAGTCGTTGATAGCTCATCTCGTAACCTGCAGGGTATAGGTTGTGGTTCTGGAGCCGCCTAGGCCCACCAGGGTGAGGTGGGGCCCGGGGTTTGTAACGGGATGGGGGCTCCTGTCCTGCCTTCCGGCCAGGGCCAGGTTCCCCAGAACGGACTTCCATGTGCAGCGCTGTGAACAGGAAAGGTGCCGGACGTGCTCTAGGAGTAGCTGCTCTTGAGGGGTCCATGGCCGGTGGTAGTGATGATGGTGGTGGTGGTGGTGGTGGGCCTGGCTGAGTTAGAACCATTAGAACCTCGTCAGAGCCGGGGTCGCAATACCCCAATGCCGTGATAGCAGTGCCCCAAACTCCCCCCATTGGGTAAAACGACCCTCTCGCGCACCTCTCGTCGATTTCCTCGGCACTAGACCGCATCGCAATGGAAGGAAGCCAAGCTGTCTTCCAACAGTAACCCTTTGCAAAGGTTACAAGGCTGCAACCACCGCTTGGAAGCGGGGCCACAGAGCCTCGAACAATCCTGTAATTTGTTTCAATCAAAAAGGAAAGTCTGTGCTTGTTTGCGGTGCTGTCTAATATTGGCTACGTCTCCTGCGAAGATGACGGTTTTGAACAGAAACTCGCTCAAGGTGCTGCAAAATAACAGTCGACCATTATGCCGCCTAACTTCTCCCCAACAGCTGAGGGTACATGTTCAGGAACATCTTTGTCGCTCTTGGTCGCATTCTGCACCAGCTGTAGACACACCTTCTAATCAGACGTACGAAAGGCAGGGCACCGACTCCTCGCTCCACTCCCCACACATAACCTTACACCTCCTGTCCTTCGACCACGTACATCCACAAAATTTGCAGCAGGAGAGTAACGCACACGTCCCGGCAATCGCCTCAAATTTTGCAGGGCAGCAAAACCGCAAAGACGTATCACCAGTGCCTCACTGAGACGGACGCGCCCGGGCGCACGGTGCGCGGAAACTTTTAACTGCTGGCTCGACCGAGTGTTTGTGTTTGCATGTATAGGTGTACGCCCCCAGCCACACCAACCCAGATGTGAAGGTCTCCAGGTCATGCGAGCTTCGCGCAACGACGCTGCACGCCACCGCATCGGCGAGACTGCCGAAGCGAAACAAAACTTGAGAAGATAAGCTACTGCTGGTGGTACTACTGCTACGCGGGACTGCGGGAATCGATGCTGCAGCTGTTTTTGACCGAACGCTCGTCGGTATTTTGAAGTCCTGAACAGGCGCAGAAGTCGACAACCCCTTCCACGCTAACTACACATGTCCGCGCGAAACGACACTCCCCCAGTGATAGGAAACGTTGGCCACCAAAGAATGGATGAAGACGGTTCCCTGCCCATTTGACTGCGTTGTTCGATCGCGCGCTCCCCATAACCCCACACCGCACCGCACACGCCGCCATGAAAACAGCAATGTTAGGTCTGTGCAGGCAGCGGCCGTAAATTACAGACCCGCCAGGGGACCAAAGATTCTGCTGAATCCGATGACCGCAACGTAAACGCAACCCCGAGTGGTGGTTATTTGCCAGGCATTTCAGCCGCAGCAGTCCATAATCGCTGTAAGAGCCGGTCCACATGGCTACGACCACATACCGCATGAGAAGGCACACACATACCTCTACCCTCGCCGACCCGCTGATTTCAACAGCCGCCGACGTCCCGCGGTGCCCCCGGTCCCGGTCCCGGCCCCGCCGCTGCCTAGGCCTAGCGTTGCTCCGGCCCGCTGCCTGGCAACAACCGCCTGTAGAGCCGCAGCCACCGCCGACCGGGGCGACAGCTCCGCCACCACGTCCCGCAAGACCGCGTCGCCCTCCGCCTCCACCTGGGCGGCAGAGCTCTGCAACCGCTGGCACTCACCAAGCATGCCGCGAAGCGGCGAGTGCAGCGGATCAGGGTCGAACCCGTTGGCCACGGCTTCGTACACGCTGCTGCTGGTAGTGATACCGCCGCCACCAGCGCTGCTGCTGCTGCTGCTACAGCTACCGCTGCTGTCGGCGGTGTTCGAAAGCAGGCACTTCTTCGGCTGGATGTTCAGACGAGCACGTTCCAGAGCTTCCGCGAAGGCCTTGCTGTGGGGCGAGGCCGTGAGGTTGTTGAGGCTCAGGTCCCTATTCAGTTCTAAATGCGGCGGACCCGCCGGTTCGGGAACCTCCGCCGGGTGCATCTGGACACGGTTCTGCAACCGCAAAGGCGCCGGCACCGACGGCGCCGGCAAGCCATGTCCCACGGGGACCGCGGCAGCGGCGCCGGCTGTGGATGTGCCGACGGGGGCTGTTCCTCCGTACGACCAGCTCGAACCCGCCACGAACGCAGCCGCCAAGTCGTTCCTGATACCGTTGACCCCTCCGTCGGCTGGATATCCCCCCCAGGTACTACTGTACTGCTGCAGCCCGCGCGGGGAGCTGTGATGGTCCTCGAGCAGTCGCTCCTGCGGCTGCGGCTGCTGCTGCCGCCGGGGCGATGAGAGCCTCGGGCCGGTGCCGCGCGGGGAGCTCCGGGCCAGACCCGCCAACGTCGCCGCTAGGGCCAGGTTGCCTCGACGCTGCGCCAGCAGTGCGACCTCCTCCAGCGGGTCCAAGACCTGTCGCGGCAGCTGTGCCGACTGCACTGCTGGAGGGAGCAGTGCCCCATCGGATTGGTGTTGATGTTGGTGTTGGTATGGCCTCCGTTGCGTGGCAGCGATCTCATTCGCTGCAACAACTGCCGCCGCCGGAGATCGTTCCGGCAGCGGTTCGTGTCCGGCAGCCTGTAGTCCCTGCATGACGCCGCCGCTGCCGCCGCCGCTGTTGCCAAACCCTGGCGAGTCATGCCCATCTCGGCCTACTACCAGTTGATTCGCGCTTCCGTCGGGGATCCGCGCCTGCAGCCCCTGCCGCCTTTTCGGCGGGGAGGTGCTGCTTCCAGTACCGCCGCTGCTGTTGCCGCCGCCGCCGCCGCCACCTGATGTGCGCGCCGGGGTTAACTGTTCCCGCGGCGTGCGCGTCGGCGAGCCGCAAGTCGGGCAGAAGCCCGTCATATCCACCCCCACCTCAGCAGCCGCTGCTGACCCACTGGGAGCCGCCGTACTACGCGACCGATCCGCCGCTTTCGTCTGTCCTGCGGCGACCGAGGGCGGAGGAGCCGCTTGCAGTGGCAGCAGCAATGGCGGGGGCAGTGGCAGCGGTTGTGCACGCGTGGTCAAGCTGCTGCTGCTGCTGGATGGGCTGTGCAGCGCTGGCTGCCGCAGGGCATACCCGACGGCCCCGAGCACAGAGGTGTCGGTCTCGAAGCTCCGACTGCTCTGGCCATCCTCCTCGTCGGTCCACACGCCCGGGCGTATGATTCGCCGCCTTTGCTGCTGTTGCTGTTGTTGTTGCTGCTGCTGCTGCTGTTGTTGGTGTTGTTGTTGTCGTTCTTGATCTGGGTTCTGCTGCTGATGTTGCAATGGAGTCATAATGTGCGAAGAAGGAGCAGACAGCCGTGGGTTAGTCGTGGTCGGGCCGCTGCCGCCGCCGCTGCTGGTGCTACTGCCAGCCATCTGCCGGCGAACAACCTCCTCAGCGCCAGACAGGAAGGTGGCCAGCAGGTTGGCGGCTGAGCCGCCGCCGCCGCCGCCGCCGCTACCACTTGGCTTTTGGGATCCCCCAGTGCGACCGCGACTACAGCTGCTGGCCGCCAGCCCGACCGCAGCAGCAGCTACAGCCGCCGCGCGTGAGTGCCATTCCGTTAGCGGTGTGGCCGACCCGCCCCCGTCATCCCGGCTGACCAAGGCTCCGACCCTCGCCCCAGCGGCGGCGGCGGCGGCGGCGGCGGCGTAGGGCTGATTGGAAGATGCAATGACAATGGCTTTGCACTGATCGCCGTTCCCATCACTGGCGCCCGCCGCCGCTGCCGCCGCCGCCGTCGTCGGTGAACCAGTCGAGGGCTTCGCCGCAGTGGAGGCGCGTCTGCAAGCATTCGCGGCCTCCAGGCGCTTAAGGGCCGCATCCACCGCCTCCGCCCGCGTCGGGGCGGACGCCGTCCCGTTGAGGGGAAACCGCCCGCCGGCGCCGAAGGCAAATGGCCCATGGTCGCTGCAGAAGGACTCTTCATTGAGCTCGGGGGATTCCACCATTTCCCGGGGACGTTTCGCCATGTTGGCGGCCTCACCGCCGCCTCCGCCGCCTCGTGGAGCGAAGATGGGCGCACCTGGGGCGCTCAGAGTCGTGGCGCGAGCCAGCAACGAGTCGATTCCGTCAAGTCCCCGCAGGCCGAGGGAAGCGTCACGGCCACCGCCGAGCGCCGCGGCTGCGGCGCCACCACCGGTATCAGCTTTGGTGTCCGTGGTGCGCCACAACGCCGCGGCACCAGCTCCGCCACCGCCACCGCTGGCGCCGCCGCCGCTCGTAGCTGCCCCGCCGGACGATATGGCCGACTTGGACCTGGCCTCCAGTTCCTGGAACAGCGACTCCATTTGCGACATGTCCGAGCTGACGGTCCCGGACATGCGCGCTCCCGGGAAGACGGCAACGCTGGAGGCGGCGGCGGCGAGGTTGCGGCCGTGCCCCCAGCCCTCCGCAGCCCCTTCTGCCCATTCCCCACGGCGTTGGAAGACGCTGTGGACCATTTGCAACGCGGAGGACTGCGATGATGTCATCGTCGTCATGGAAGAGCCAGCCGTCGGGAGAGGAGGGGGAAGAACAGGAGGGGTTGGCGGGGGGAGACGCGCATGCTCGGGAGCGCTGTGGAGGCTCACTTCGGACCACGCCCAGTCCAGCGGGACCCCCCCGGGCTCTGAGGGCTCTGAGGGGATGGCGCCCGCCGTCGCTACTTGCTGCGCAGGAGCCGGAGCGGGAGCTGGTACCTGAGCCGGCGCGACGACGGCCTTTGGTCCCAAGGACATGGGTGCCCAGGGGATGGAAGCCGGGCCCAGAGGATGACCCTGCTGGGGATTCGCGTTCGCGTATTGGTGATCCGGATTTGGTTGCCGAGGTGGTACGGACTGGCTGGCCCCGATGCTAGTGCCGGTGGTGCTGGTGGCGGTGGTGCGGTGCAGAGCGGGCCACGCGGCGCCCACTACGGCAGCACTGACGGTGTACGACTGGCCTGTGGACAACGGGGCTTCTTCGTTAGCATGATTGGCGGTGGATGATGGCTGGGAGGGGTGATGGTGGTGCTGCCCGGCGTGAAATACGGCCGGTAGCTGCGGCTGGGCTTGTGGCGAGGGTGGCGGCGGCGGCGGCGGTGGTGGTTGTGGTGGTGGCGGAGATGACGGAGGCGGTGGTGTGAAGGGCCCGGCGGGGTGCCCGGCGGATGACAGTTGTCGGTGAGGGCCTGTCAGCGGTCGAGGGCCTGTGGGGCCCCCCAAGTCGCTTCCATGCTGTTGCTGCTGCCGCAGTTGCAGCGACAGCGGCGGCGGCGGCGGCTGTAGCGGCCAGGAGCTCGGCGGCAGCGCCGCGGCGGCAGCCCGCACCGCACTTGGTGCGCATGAGCTGCTGCCGCCCTGAGAGCTCCAGACAGACTGCTGGGATTGCCATGACTGCTGAGAGCCGTACTGCTGGTACTGCTGCTGGTACTGTTGGTACTGCTGTTGCTGCTGGCACTGCTGCCCGGAAACACTCGAGCCCGTGCTGTTCAATCCCGTAGCTATGTTAGGACCAACGGCACCGTTGCCATGAGCCTGCGCCGGCTGCATCAGGCTCCCGTCCTGCTGGCTCGATACGGCAGCTGAATAGCCATAACCACCGCCAGCGGACGCTGCGGCAGCGACCGCCTGCGCCATCGCCGATGCTGACAACGACATGTATGAGGAACCCAGCGACGTGTCGCTGAAGAAGGGCATTGACGGCCAGGTGGGCAGTAGCGCTTCCGCCGCCGAGTATTGCGCCATGGCATCGCGGTCGGCTACTACTGTGAGGTGGTCCATGGCGCCCATACCCCCGAGCAGCACGGCCCCGCCACTACCTCCACTGCGATCGCGTGCACACGAAGACGACGGCAGCGGTAGTAATGGTGGTGGTGAGTGACTTGATTGCGGCCGCATGCCCAGCTCACGCAGCGCATGCGGCGGCGGCCGCAGCTGAACCGCATCAGCATAGGTGGCGCCGCCGCTGCTACTGTCGTGGACGGCAGCTCCGTCAGACGGTGAACGGATCGGACTCAGGGGCAGGGCCGGATGGTGCCCCTCATCGTGATGCGGAATTCCGGCCCCCGGCAACGTGACGGTATGTGTGCTGCTGCCAAGACCCGCCAGCCCGCTCCACTGGGACGTTGGCTGCGCCGCAAAGGCTCCGCCTCCACGCTGTACCGAAGCAGCGGCAGCAGCGGCAATGTGTCCGCTGCCAGCAGCCAGCCTGACGGCGGATGGATAGCTCGCGTCCCCTAGCAGCCTCTCCGCGGCGGCGGCGGCAGCGGGGTCCAGCTCGCCGGACCCCGCCTGATCGGATGTGTTGCGTCGCGACCAGGCCTGTAGCGAGCCGGGGCTGGCGAGGCTGCTGGTATCCTCAGAAGACGCCATGGAACGGGCGAAGGCGCCGTTGCCTTCACCGCCGCTACCGCCGCGCGGACTGGCTTCGCGGGAGGCGCTGGTTGCGGAGGATGGAGACGGCGGCGGCGGAGGGAACACAGGCGGGTGCGGCTGCAAGACGATGTTTATGGTCTGTGGCATGGCCAGCGGCTGCAGCGCTGGTGGCGGCGGCAGCGGCGGATCAGCGGCGGCAGCAGCCGGGGTCTTTGCGACGCCCGCAGCGGTAGCGGGGGCGGTAGCGGCGGCGGACCATTCCGCTGGCTCGACGGCGCTGATGGCTCCGCTGCTGGCGCGGTCAAGGTGGCTGTTGATGCCGCCGCTCACTTGGACGTGGGCTACCGGCCCTGGTTCCGGCGGGCAGCTGGCGATCAAGGTACGGGAAGATGACCTCGCTAGGCCCGGCGGCGGCAGCGGCGGCGGCGGCGGTGGAAGCACGGATGACGGACGCGACGGCGGGACGAAAACCTGGTTCGCCGGATTTGGAGCACCGCCTGGATTTGCGACGATGGGCTTTCCAGTAGCAGCGACAGGCGCGGCAGGTGTGGCGGCAAGTCCAGCGCTGCTCCCGAGGTCCAAGTCCGACAGGAAGCCCTTGCCGTTGCCGGTGCTGCGGCTGCCCGCCACGACGACGCTGTCCTCCCAAGCTTGTGGCCGCGGAGGGGGATCAAGATTTTCCAGTTGGCTGCTTCCCACGGAGATAGAAAAGGAGGACTCGGACGATATAGGCATCGAACGTAGGACTTCTTGTTGTTGTTGTTGTTTTTGCTGCTGCTGCTGTACTTGCGGAGCGACGGGAGCGCGTGCAGATGATAAGTCCATGGCAGCAGTGGCCGGCGGCCCCACGGGCTCCGGCCCAAACTCGGGCTGGAAGCCGGCGGACTCAGCCGCGAGCTCCGTCACCGCGCCGCGGCTGGAGTCCTCGCAGCCACCAGAGGTGGTGGTGGAGGCCCTCGTCTCCAGGACGCTCAGGGTGCCGTTGCTGACGCGGCCGATGGTGGTGCCGGAGCCCTTACGGATCTGGTACAGGGGTCCCGGCTCCGGCGGCACACTGGCACTCAGCACACGGGAGCCCGACATCGCCGTCCTTGACAACTGCCCTGAAAGCGGCGGCGCTGGCGGCGGCGCTTCCTGTAAGGCAGGTGCCGGAGCAATACTCATACTCGTAGCAGGCCCACTAGCCGCTGCTGCTGCTAGAGCTGCTGGAGCTGCTGCCGGCGGCGGCGGTGCATTCGCAACTTGTGAAGCATTCGTTTGGTTGTGTTGCTGGGCGGAGGCTGCGTCGCCCGCGTTGCCTGTAGATGGTGACTCATCGGCAGGGGCAGCAGCGCTGGCCCCGCGGCTTGCGGCCGCACCGCCGGGCTGCCGCACCTGCACTTGAGGCCCGGGCTCGGGATGGCAGCTCGCGGTCATGGCCTTGGAGGAGGAGGAGGGGGAAATCCTTGCCTGCGGCCCTACAAATGGGATGGCTCCCGCCGGCCCCATTCCCCCATCCTCCCGCCCCGCCTCCCCACGCCGGACAGCCTGCTCAAGCCTCTCCAGCCGTTCCCGCAGCCCGCTCGCCTCGCCGTCTGCCGTCACCATGCCCGCCGGCAGTGGCAGCAGGATGGGGCCACCGGGCAGCGACGCCAGTCCGGCGCCGGCCTGCACCATCCTGTACCATTGCTGCCACGCAGCGTTTTGCACGGCGGCCATGGCGCCCTGGCCGCTGCGCCCCTCTACCACATCGGAGCTGTTCTGCACGGAGGAGGAGACGGTTTCCGTGGCCGGTGAAGGCAGGCTGCCCGTGTCCACGGCGAGCTCAGTAGTCCTGGCCTCAGCCTCGGGCCGACCGGCCGAGGATGGGGGCCCCGGTGGTGGCGGTGGCGGAGGCGCTGGAGCTGCTGCGGCTGCGTTGGTGGCTGAGCAAACTTGCTGCTTAAGCCGCTCGGAATCGAGCTCCGCGGCTGCGGCTGTGGCCACGGCAGCGGCAGCGGCGGCGCGGCCTGCAGGCTGGGCCAGAGTCCGCCAGGCGTAGAAGACACTGCGGTGGTCGGAAGGCAGAGGGGTTGCACACGGCGCAACACACAAAGGGGTTTGAGGGGCCCCAAGATGGGATAGGCAGCGGAAACTCACGGATGTTTTTTTTACCAAAAACTATGAATGCGGGGCGCGCCGTCGCCGAGGGCGTCCGAATTGCGCTGAATGAATACCCCAGGGGGCTCCTCAACATACCGCGCCTCGGGCTCCGCGGCAGCTGATGCACCTGCGGAGGGGTTGTCCCTTGCCCCACCTGGGCTGTGCCCAGGTATCAGTACCGACCCAAGCGGTGCCACACCACATGCAGCCGCACCCATTACTACGCACACACAGACACACAGAGGTACACACACGCACAAATGCGCTTCTCCGCGTACCTGCAAAGCATGGGCCAGGCCTTCCGCCGCTGGCGCTCCTGCCGCGCGAATGCGGACCAGGCGGACATCACCGCGGCCTGCAGGCGCCTCTCCGCACGGGTCTGCAGCAGGCGACTGCACGTGGCCAGATGGCGCAGCGATATGACCGCCAGGTGCCGCCAGGCGGTCAACACTGCATGGGGTTGGGGGTCGGGGGGCCGGGGGCGGGGAAGGAAGGGAAGGGTTTGGAGCGGGAAGGAACGGCGCGGGGTGCGGGGTTCTTGACTGGGGGAGAGGGTTACTAGGACGCTTGTGCCGATAGGCCAGTGGCAAGGAGGGGAATCAAATGATAAAGAGGCAACGAGTCAACAGCTGGCGTCCAATGCAAGGATGGAGGCCGGAGAGTAGGCAAAGCGACAACACACAAGGCAGCGACAGCACACTCCCTTACGAACAGTCCCCAAACCCCCAGTTGCCAGACCTACCCTGCCGCTTGACACGCGCCCATACCGCCGCGTAGCGCCTCTCCACCGCCTCCTGAACTTCCGCCGCGGCTGCGACCGCCAGCCTCCACGCCTGCACCGTCCGATTCAGCAGCGCCAGTCGCACGTCCTGCTTGTTCCTCAGCTTGTCCTGCAGCCGTTCCCGTACCTCCCGTACCTCCGCGCGCCAGGCCAGCAGGGCGCGCCTTGCCATGCGTCCCGTCCGCCTCGCCAGCAGCTTCAAGCACGTCCGGTGTAGCCGCGCAGACTGCCCGGCGTGCTGGCCCCAGGCCGCAAGACAGGCCCCCACCAGACCGCGCACCAGCCGCCGAGCCATGGCTATGGCTGCGCCGCGCCTGGCCCTGCCGTCCGCCACGGCGGCGGCCCAGCACTGGAAGCACGCTTCGAGGAACAGGCGTCGACAGCGCGCCCTCAGCCGCCACGCGGCGGCCTGCAGACGCAAGCGGCGCGCAGCCATTACCCTCCAGGCACTGAAGGCCGCCAGCGCGAGCCGGCGCGGCTGGACCGCCACGCGGGTCAGTGCTGGCAGGCGCGCGCGCAGCAGCTCCGCCACCGTTGCCGTGGCGGCGGCGCCGCCCCGGCCGCCGGCAGCGCTCACTCCCCCGAGTGCCGCCATGAGAATGCGCTGGATGGCCTCCAGGGGGTTTCCAACACCGCCGGAAAGCGCAGCAGCAGAAGCCGCCGCCGCCGCAGTAGCAGCGCTGGTAGCTAGGGCCAGCGAAGGCAGCTGCAGCGGCGGCAGCAGGTACGGCAAGGAAGCCTGCTGCATCACGGCATGGGGAGACCAGCCCGCCGGGCGGCGAGCGGAGACGGCAAAGGCAGCGTCCCAGCCAGCAGCCTGCAGGGCGTCGAGAAGGAGGACCTGCAAGGCGGCGGTATGGCTAGCGACGTACCAGGAGCGCAGTACACCGCGAGCCACCAATCGCCGCCATTTGCCCCGCAGCAGACGGGCGAAGCCTGCGAGGCGGGCGCATCGCACGGCCCAGCGCCGCCAGCCACGCAGTACTCGGCGCGCCAGCGCCACGGCGCGCTTGCGCTGGCTGCGCCGTATGCTACGCCGCAGGGCCGTACGCGCCGCCAGCGCGTGCAGCGCTTCACGCAGCAGCTGTAGCTCGTAACCCCGGCGGCAACGACCCAGCGCGATCATGCCCGCCCTCACGGCGGCGCAGCGCCGACGCCAGCCGGACAGAACGCGGATCGCCAGCGTGCGCGCGTGGACACGGACGGCGCTCTGCCACTGCTCTCGCCTCGGCTGCAGCATACCGCGCCACGCGGCAAACAGTGCGCACAGCCGGCGGAAGCACAGCCGGCGGTCCGCCAGCGCCGCGGCGGCACGCAGTGTCCGCCTCGCGGCTGCCACTCTGACCCAACGGCGCACCACCTTCCGGAGGCGCGCGGCTTGATGTCCTGCCACAAGTTTCCGCCGCGTCTCTGCAAGCGTCCGTGTATGGCTGCACCAGCGAGTCAACACCGTGGCGGCTAAGGCACGGCGCCGCATGCGCCCCACCGCCGACAACGTGCCCTGCAAGTGCAGCCTTTCCGCTGCTACCCGCCGCCAGCCCGTCAGCACCCGGCGCAACAGAACGCCACGCCGTCGGCCGTCGAACCACCTTTGCAACACCCCCGTCAGTCGCTCCGCCGCCTCCGCGACCTGGCCCTCTGCTTGCAGGCCCATAGCTGCCTGCCTGGCGACAGCGCGCCACGCAACAAACGCCGCCGGCAGCAACCTACGTTCCCTGCGCTGCGCCATCCGCTCCGCAGCCCTTCGACGCACCGCGGCCACCCCAACCTCCATCAGCCACCGCCTCATGACCCGGCCCTGGAGCTGCTGCTGCCGAATCAGAGCCACCAGCTCCGCTCGGCGCCGTCTGGCGATGCTCTCCTCCACGAGATCGCGCCAGGCGCACCAAAGGACACCCACGCGGCGCCGCGCCACCATGACTGCGAGAAGTGCTGCGCGGGCAGTCAGCTGGCGGCGCTGCTCACACAGGCCCCGCCAGGCGGCCATGATGGAGTGCAGCGCGGCCACAGCGGCGGCAGCGAAGGTGACATGTGCGGCGCTGCGTGCGGTGGCGAGGTGGCGGGAGAGCTGGTGCCAGCGCACCAGGGCTCGCCTGAGGCGGCTTTCCTGGAGCTGGTGCTGTGTGTCAAAGATCTCGAGCCTGAGAACGAGAAAAAAGAGTTGGAGAAATAAAGATGGAAAAGCAAAAGCTCTTGCTCAAAACCAGCAACGCGTTCAAGAGAGGCGGTAGGGCAGGAGGGCCGCACAGATGTGGGTCGTGGGCACGTGCACAGCAGCCGTCGCGGGGAAGGCGAAGGTATGATACCGATGGGCGTCGCAAGCCGCGCAGTTTTGGAGCAGAGCTGGAGTAGCAGGTATGGTAAACGGCTCTTTTCCCGTTTGTTGCACGGCGGGGGCATGTGCAACACGCAATACGCCGCCATGGTGGCGGAGATGTGTACGAGAATGTGACCGCGGAAAGTGTATACGCTCAACGAGGACATGGCCCCTAAGACCAGGTAGGCAGGCAAGGCCAGGGACGGGGATATGTATTGGCGCGCAGCCCAGCCGGAAAGCTGTTTTCGCGCGCACCTGCACCGTGCTACTTTGTGTCTAGCGTGTGTTTAACGACGGCATTGCTGTCTGCTGCTCGCACACGGTGAAGACGCGTACACGCAAACAGAGGGAAGACAGGACGGCGCACGCATCGCACCGGAGCGCCACAGCCGCGTCCTTCCAGGCCTGCAACACACGGCGCGCCAGCCACCTGGCCAGGTGCAGCCGAGTCGCCTCACAGCGACTCCACCGCGCTCGCCGCTCGTCAATGTATCTGGGCCGCGTGGGATATTATACTACATGTTAAACTCCACTAAATTACCGATGGATGATGGGTCATATATAATACATGCAGTCTATTGTCTAATGTTGAAATGCGGCAGATAGTCCCCCCCAATGGTTAGGTGTGGTGAGCGGGCGCAACTCTCACCACGTCTCACCTGGACCAGGCCTGTAAAGTCATTGCGCCGCGCTGCCGCGCCGCGCGCCGCAGCCATAGCGCACAGAGCCGCTTCAAGAGGGCACTGCGGCTCGCCCTGAAGTGCCACTCCTGCAGCGCCCCCAGCAACCGCCGAGTGTGATGCCGCGCCCAACACTGACATGCCAACATGCTGCAACAGACAAAGCAGCCCGTTGGAAACCCAAGTCAGGTCAGGCTGCGAGAACCCAAATCAGCCAGTCAAGACAGCAATGAGGGGGCGGAATGACATGCAGCGAAAGTCAAAAGACCTAATGCCGACAGCAGTAAGGGAAGGGGGAGCAGTGAGCATTACGAAGCTAACACGCCGTGTGCTGTCTGCTGCTCGCCTGCGTGCACTGCAGTAGGATACGCAAGGGTGGCGAAGATGCTGGGAAGGAGGCAAGAAGGCCAGGGGGCAAAAGGGTGGTGGTCGCGGCGCGGGGGAAAGCCCACCAGGTCTCCACCACGGCCTGACCCACATCGTCACATACAAGCTCATCCAGCAGACCCAACCCACTCACCCACACCTCTTCTTCTGCCGCACCCAGCTCATCCATTTCCGCACACCGGCCCGCTCCTACATCCGTTCCCCTCACGCTAATCAAACCGCGTTTCCAGACCCTAACCCACAGCATGTGCCGCGCGTGCCGCATCGCCGCCGCCCGCTGCTGCATCGCCACCCAGGCCGCCGACTGAAGCCTGCGCTCGTTGTACATCGCAGCCTCCCTCCGCCTGTTGCGCGCGGCCCGCGCCTCCGCCCTCCACATCCGAAACGCCAGGAAGAGCGACCATTTCAGCACCCGCATCACATAGCCCTTCACCACGTGATGGGACAGCTCCAGCGCGTCGTCCTGCAGGGAGGAACTCATGTAGGCCGCACACTCGGGGGGCACTGTGCCGGAGTGACCTGGGGGGGAAAGACGAACCACACACGATTGACCTGGGGGGGGAGAGGCGGGGAAAGTGCACCCGGCACCGGCGAGGGTCAGATCAGCAGTGCGGGCTGCGAGGATGAGATCGGCAGATTGTGGATGGTAATGGCTGCAGAGAGAGCGAAGAGAGGGAGGTAGAAAGAAATGGGCGTGCTTGGTGCGGTCGGGGTTTTCCTACCTTGCTAACGAGTGCATGGACTCGGGGAAACGACGTCAACGAACAGCGCAGCAACGAGCCACAGTTGTTTTTGTTACCTATCGCCTATCAAAAGGAGAGGTGGAAACATCGCTTCTCCGGAATAACGTCACCAAGTCCCACACAGCCTGTGGTCTCCACCGCGACAACTCCTCCACGCAGACCCATTATTTACGCCCGCCCCAGCTACCACCGCAACCGGGTGTGACTGGGCGACAGCACCAACCTTTCGATTCTTCCCCTTCTAGCCATCCCACCCCCCTCGCCCTCACCGGGCACAAGCTGATCGACAGCGTGTCCATTCACCGTGTCCAACGGCTGCTGGGGCGGCGTGCTGGGCAGCGCGTGGTGGTGCCGCAGCGATGGCGCTGGCGTCGGCCCCGGCATCGGCCCCGGTGCGCACCCCACTCTCCAGGCGCGCACGCTCATAGTGATGGCGGGTGCCCTGCCAGGTCAACCGGGGGGATTATGTGCTTGCGTTTTGCCACACCCACATGGCGGGGCGGGGAAAAGGAAAAGAGGAATATACATCGGGCGGGGGAGGAAGAGCAGGATTGGGGCCAAGCTCTAGCACCTCCCAGTTTCCAAAGCTACTGCCAGCTGTGTCAATGGCTGGACTGAGCTTGCTTAACATGGCCAATTCAGGCCATGCTGGACCGGGCTCGGATGCCGCACGAATCCCCCTCCCCCATTTTCCTGTCCAGCAGACCGCCGTGCTGTCGCAGCCTATTGAACCTGCCGGATGCCTGCGGCAAAACTGTACTGCACGGCTGGCTGAGTAGCCAGGCCATATCATCCCGAGGTGACTGGGGAACCGACTAGAAACACGAAATCGCGGACTCGGGCTCGTATCGAACTGCTACAAACGGGCGGGAAAGAGTCCCCCCTGCGCATCCAGCGTTTCCCTACGTACTGTCTGGAGGTGAGGCATATTGCGGGGCTATGCTGCTGTAGCAGGCCGTGGTAGAGAGCCTCCGCCTGCAGTTCGGCACCGGGGGGAAGCAGATCTCAGCACGGGAATGCCATGAGAGCTAGATTGAAAAAAGATGTCAAGGAGGATGCCTAGGAGCTAGGTTCCTCACTGGCACGTGATAGGGGAAGAGCCTAGGATAAATGTGGGTCGCACATCGTGAAGAGCATATCACAAGGTCGTGAGGCAGACGAAGCCGCTACAATGTACAGGGTATGCTATAGGCAGCAGGATGCGCTGCGGCGGCTTCGCAAGTAGACGGGTGGTTTTGGGGGGTGGAGGAGGGGGAAAGGTATCCAAGTTGTGCCCACCTTCCACTGCTCCCACACGCCGAGTCGCGGCGAGAAGAACACTAGGTTGGGGGTCTTCTTGCGGGCTTGCAGGAAGAGCCCTTCCAAAAACGGAGACCGTAGGCCCAGCCATTCGCCCTGCTCTACCACCTCAAGGCAAGTCGCATGCTCAACCGCCCCTTGGGGTGGGATAGCGCTCAAGTACAGTAGAGCTGGTTCGCCAGCTTGTTCATCAGCAGGGCGCACCTGTAGACCATTTACATTGGAAGCATGTCGGTAACGACCACTAAATGGGATATTGTTCACACATGGCCAAGCCATTGGAAACCCCGTGGCTTGCAAAGGCTCACCGCATATGCTGTCGAGCTCTGTATAGCCTCAAGGATAACCCAGTCGCCATGGGAAAGCCGCTGGACGTAATGCGGGAGGTCCTGTCCGTTCGGAAGCATAGGTTTTCTCCGTTGACTCAACCTTGCCTAAGTAATCGCCCGTCATCTTTGCTTTAGCATTTTTAATCCTCTTGGTAATGTTCTAAAACTGCTGGAATAGGTGACAGCAACCGGAGTCCGGGTAACGGGCTGTCCTCCGGCTGGATCATTTTTAATGTGCCTTTTATTTAAGATGAATTGTAACATAGTCATTATGAACTATATGATCTGTTCTTAGATATAGTTTCATAGCAGTTCCTAGCATAGTCATGCAGCGAAATGTAACCCGTGTCGCAGGTGTCCTGTTTGGCCATGCATGGCGTCATGAGGAAGCATTTCCTTTGTGCTGTATATGGCACCGACTTAATGCTAGTGCATGGCGGTCCCTGGCAGATGGCAGTTCGCGCAGCTCAAGCACGCCAACCGTGGGACAACGACGAGCACAGCCGACTCGCCAGGTGCCTTACTTGTCGACAGACGACTTTGGCCGACCCACTGTTATCCACCGCTCGTCTGCACTGGACGCACACGACGTGGGCAAGTTGTCCGGGGCTCCGTACGAAGTCACGGAGGACTTGCAGCAAACGAGTCGCAAAGGAAAATCCCCTCGGAAAGCTGCTGACCAAATTCAACACCGCAAAGGCACTTTTAAATTACAGACTTGCCGGACGAAAAGGTTGACCGATGCCTCTTCGGCAGAGCCCTCCCCGCCTGATGCGAATGCTGAAATACTACCGCGCAACCGGCCGCGCCCCCGTGGCCCATCTCCTCCACGCAATCACGACTTCTCACACGGCGATCTCTCCGAAGCGCTACCCGCAGCGAATTCGAAACCCCACGCGTCTCACGCGACAACCGCCCTCAACCCCTCCACCGCCGCCACCGATACCGCCCGCGGCCGCGGCTCTCCCAGCGGCAGCCGCAGCCCTTCAACGGCGACCCCGCCCCCCCCACGTCCCACCACAGCCTCCGCCGCACCGCCAGCTCAGCCGCTGGGACCCGCCAGCCGGGATCGCATGCTTACCTTCCGGCTTTCAAAGTCCAGTTCCCTAAGCGAGCTGGACCTGCTGCTGGGCCAGCACCCCACCGCCCCCAACTTGATTCACCTGGCAGCCACGGCACGGCAGGCCGTACTGCTGGGGAGCCTGTCGCAACCCAGGGAGGCGAGGGAGCTCCTTGACCGGCATCTGCAGCGCGTGGCGCAGGACGGAGCCGCCGCCGCCGCCGCCACAGCGCCAGCGACGCTGGCAGCTAGGAAGACAGCAATCACCGCGGATGGAGCCGGTCCCCGATATGGCCGTAGTGAGGCCGCCGGTGAAGCAGAGAGGGGAGCCGGCGGAAACAGTAGGGGGGATGGTGTCGGGAGTCTAGCCGTCGGGGCTCATGGGCTTGCAGACAGTCACTCCAGAGAGGTCAACGTCGCGGTGAATGCGGCTGCATCCAACATGGCGGCGGGTCGGGAGGCGACGATGCCGGCGTTGTCGCCACCAATTCGCGAGGTTGGCGACGTCCTGTGGGCGTATGGGAAGCTGCAGTGCAAGCCGCCGCCCCACGCATGGTCCAGTTTGTTTCGTCCATTGTTGCTGGACGTGATGGCGTGGCGTCAGTTACGAGAGGAGGCAGCAGCAGGAGGGTCCGAGGCGGCGGGGGTTGGGCGGCAGCAGCAGCAGCAGCGTCGGAGGCGGGCCACCGCCGCGGCCGATGGCGACGAGGAGGGAGAGGGCAACGCCGTCGGCCGGGAGCTGAGCAAGGTGGCTGTAGCGCTGGCGCGCATGGGGGAGCTAGATACGGACGTGTGGCGGGTGCTGGCAAAGACCGCCGCCGCTGCGGCGCCGGACATGAGGCCGCGCGCGCTCGCTTCCACGCTATGGGCCTTCGGCTCTGTGCGCATGACCCACGGGTCATTTCTGGCAGCATCCGTCCGCTCCATCCACCACAAGCTCCGACACTTCAACGGACAAGACCTGGTGTGCGTCATGTGGGCCCTATCCCGCCTGGCGCAAGACGCGCCAGACGGCGGCAACCAGGCTTCCGCCGCCGCTGCCGCCACGGCAGCTGCACGGAACCTACTATACGGTGACCTCTCTGATGCCGTACGACGGTGTATGCAGCTCCGCGGCTTCAAACCCGCGGAACTCACAACGCTGATCGGCGTCTTGGACGAGCTCTCCGAACAGCTGCAGCAGCAACAGCAGCAACAACAGCAGCAGCAGCAGCAGCTGTCGGCGCGGGGGTTGATGCACCTCAGTCCGCGGCTACTTCGCGTGCTGGGCCAGGGGATCTGCAAGAGCATGTCCTCGCTGCCGGTGGGCGCTCTGGCCGTGGCGGCGGCGTCCTTTCAGCGGCTGGGCCATGGCGACGGGGCGCTGTTCCGAGCTCTGGCGGCGGCCATGGCGCTGCGGCTGCGGCACATGGACCCGCGACACCTGCTGCGGGCGGCGGCGGCGATGCAGGCCGCGGGCCTTAGGGACAGGTCGTTCTTCGCCAAAGTAAGTGCGTGGAGATATGGGCGTGTGGGGGTGTGGGCGTGTGGGCGTGTGGGGGGATGTGGGGGTGTGGGGATGTGGGGATGTGGGGGTGTGGGGATGTGGGAGTGTGTGGGCGGCAAAAGAAGGGTTCTTGACGGGAGGGGTAGGCTCGATCCGGTAGACCCCTAGGGCTGAAAGGCGTGGCGACGTCGTCGATGTGCCGTCAACGGTGACTCCATGGACATGACGAGACATGGGGTAGGCCCATGCAGGGGGCGCATGCTGCTCACCGGAATTACCAGAACGCGACGGGCCCCAGCGCGCAGGTTTCAATCGGGGGCCGTACAGTGCCTGCTGTACGTACGTGTATTTTGATGAATGCCTATTGACACCACCACTGCCGGCGGGCGGGCGGTGTGCATACGTTGTGTGTGCCTGTCTGTCTGTCTGCCTGCCTGTCCGTCTGTTTGTGTGTCTGTCTCTCCTCCCGTCTGTGTTCGTGTCCGTGTATAGGTACTTGGCGCCTCAGAGTACCGACTTGCCGCATTCAAGAGGCACGAGTTGCTGTCTATGGCGAACCTCGCCGGACGGCTAGCAGGAGCTTCAGAACCCCTCACAAGCGCTATCACCGACAATACCACCACCACTACCGCCGCCGTCACAGCCAACAGCAGTAGCAGCGGCGGCGGCGGCCAGGTCGCTACCAAGGAGGGGGCGGCGGCGGCGGCGGCGGCGGCGGCGCGGTCATTCCTCCATTCGGCCGTCAGGTTCGCGGTGGAGTCCTCCTCGGAGCCGCCAGCGTCGAGGGCCCGCGGTCAGTGCCGCACAGCTCCAGGCTGCGAGGCTTCAGCTGCCCAGGGCCATTCCCGGCGGGCTGAGGGGACCGCAGCTATTGAGGCTGGGGATGGGGGTGGTGGGGGTGGGTATGGTGAGGTTAGGGGTAGGGGTGAGGGTAGGGGGGTTGTGCATGAGTGCATGCGGTTGCGGCACTGGCACCGACTGCTGCGGTCGGCGGCGGCTGCCGGCTGGCGGGACGAACAGCTAGGAAATGCCGCCCTGGATGAAATGGTGCGGGAGGTGCGCCGCGCAAGGCCCGCGTGGCTCACCGCCGTACGCAAGAGGGCTGAACGGCTAGCAGCGGAAGCAGCAGCGGAGACGAACATGGAGACGGCGGCGGCGACCATGGTGGAGCGGGAACACCGGGATGAGGATGAAGATGAAGATGAGACTGGGGATGAGGATGAGGATGATGTGAGCAGTGTGAGACTGGGGTCGTACATGTACGACACAGCTGCAGGTGACGTGTCGGGTGTGTTGTACACCGCCGCGGTTCTGGGGTTGCGTGGTCGTGTGGACGTGGTGGAGGCGGTGGTGTTCGGATTACTGGAGGCCCTCGGGGCTGCGGAGGAGGTCCTCTCGACGTCGACGTCAACGTCAACGCCGACGTCAACGTCAACGCCAACGTCAACGTTGACGGTGGCGCCCAAAGGTCCGAGCACCACCTTGATCAGGGGCCGCCAGCAGCAGCCGGGTACGCAGTCGCTTCCCTCGGCTTGTGACGTGGTGATGCTATCTCCGCAATCGGCAAGTCATCTTCAGCGCGGCCTGGAGTTTTTCGGACCGGCGCTAGGTTCGTTGGAGCACCGACGGACGCGTATCGCTGTGCAGGTGTTGCGGCAGAGGTGGGGGCTGTGGTAGGAAAGCCTGGACTTACCTCAGAGTTCTCTTGAGCTTGAGCGAGCAGAAGGAGAAAGGGTAGGCGGGGGTAAATGAGAAGGAATGGGGTGCGCGGGGCCCGGGGGGCTGGGGCGGGGCTGGCTGGAGGTGGCTGGTGATTCAGGGTTTTGATAAGACGCGGCAGTGAGGCGGCGCGCAGGCTGAGGTCACGTGGATCCAGATCCAGCCAGTCTGGGCAGATTGCTCGTCGTGTTGGCCACGAGGGGGCCAAGAGGGGGTCAAAAGGAAAATTTACTTTTTGAAAATGAGAGTAAAAGCTTCTCTGCGATTTCCGTTAATACCTAGCTTTTGTTCAAGTCCAGGTAGCTCCAGGAAGGGTTTCGTAGACTATGGCTAACTCCAGTCGTCGCAATGCGAGTTTGTTCTGTTGCCATGGTGGCAAACAGCTATACTGCCAAAAATGGAAAAGGTAGCTGGTGGATGGTTCTTTTCTCTCTTGATGCACATTTTGAAAAAATAAAACCCTTACGACGGATAATAAACTCTGCAGGGCTGTGTTTTTAAAGTTCCGCAAGGCGAGTAAAGCTAAAAGCTTTGCGTGCATCGGTTTTGCACGATGCGTCTTCAGATGTTCCTTTTCTTCCGTGGCCCGCGGTCACTTCGTATGCAGCACCTTTCACGAAGGCTCGACCCCGTTCCGCCCATCAACCAAACTAGTTGCGCAAAGGAACTATAATTACGTATCATTTGAGGTAACGTGCGACCATAACAATTGCACTTCCGATGCTGTGGGAACCCCAGGGCCAGTTTACATGACCAATCATTTCGGAAAGCTTTAAGCGTCGATAAACACGATCTACTCGTACAAACCTTATTTTGGAGGGTCGCTGCAAATGTTTCCTGCAACTTCCTGAATTGGCCGCTTTGTTGTACCGTACAGCTCGACGACTCCACTACTCCTGCGGCCACCTGATTACGAGGGTGCAAATATATATATGGCCTATATGGCAGTTTACTTGTGATAATCCGTGTAATGGAGACCTTAGCGCGCTGTACGTTACCACTGGATGAGGGTAGGGCGCTGGGGACGAACGCGGACCCAAACCTGGTAAAAAGGGTGAAGGAAGCCCTCAGCGTGGACCTTACTGTGGAGTCAGCCTCCTTCCTAAGGCTTCTCATGGCAGCGGACATTTTTCCACTTGGTAAGGATGGAAAGGCCTTAGCTGCTTGGAACACGACACGACACTGATATGCATAGGTGTATATAAGCATTTATCTGGATAACAGCTACGCATGCTGTTGGGATCAAGTATGACGCCATGAACCGACTCCTTGGGGACTCTTTGCGTGGCGAGTTTTGGGAAACTTTGCTGTTACGTGGCTCTCTTTTAGGGAGTCCACCCCGAAAGATTTAAATTAATAATGTGAATTTTTATTTGGCGTATCAATACAAATTACATGAGAATAGTCACTGTGCTCGCGAGGTAGACCGTTCGTCACGGTGTTACAAACGCCTCCCTTTTCAGCTTGCTGCTAAGATCAATTGAACAAATTTATGCCAGATTATTCCTCATACGCAGTAGGAAATCATGCAGCACAAGTGGTAAGCGGTCAGTCAGTCTAGCCGTGTTCCTGCAATTGTTATGTTACCTCCAGATGCGTGACCAACTGCTTCCAAAGGTCAAAGAGTAAATATTCAAAGAGCACTAGCTTAAACGCTTAATTTGTTATCAGCTAGTCCTTACAGCTTATGGTTCGTTCGTTTGGGCTGTCGAAGTCGAGTGTTATAACAGAACGCTGCCGCCACGGTTCGCGAGCTGCCCATAGTCCCAAGCAATTTACACGTTATAGTATGAATATAACATGCATATTATTAATAAAAAAACCCAATCCATCACATGCAACCTCTTCATTTATTAACCAAATCCAGCTCATCAACGGTCAACCCGTCTAACGCCGCCGCGCCCTTTCTCCACGAACCCACCCACGAAGAACCCCCAGCCCAGCCCCAACTCCCTGCATTGTTGTCCAATTTGTTGCTCCTCCTTCCGTTTCTTTCTTTCTTGTCCTCCATCCACTAACAAATCTCCGCACACACCCGCCTAGGCGGCCTCTACACGGGTCCCTGGGCCCATTTAGCCGTACGGCGCTACTGCTGCCACTGGTTGGCACTGCTACTGCGCTTGGACGACCCCCGAGACCGGGAGCCCCTCGTACCGCCTCTCGATGTCGCCCTGGTATGGGCCCTACACCGCAGCATTGACATCCATGCCTACGTAGAAGACTGCACTGCGCTGGCCTTCCGTGCGGCCCCGGAAAGGGAGCCCGAGCTTCTCAGTGCCGGACCTCTCCAGGCGCTGAACTTCAGCGACGGAAGCGATGACGCCGGAGCGCTGACCAGGATGGTGGGTGCGCGTATGTGCGTGTGTGTGCGTGTGTGGGTGTGGGTGGGTGGGGGTTAGGGGGGCGGGAGGGGAGAGTGTGTGTGTGTATGATTGTAGGTGCGGGTGTCTTTCCGCCGGATATGGTGCGGTGGGGGTGGGGTGGAGTGTAGAGGTGTGTGTGCTTGCGGGCCGAAGGGGGTGTCTGTGGGGGTGGGGGTGGAGGAGGGTGGGGGGAGGGAGGAGGGAGGGAGGCGCGGGTTGGTGGCTGGTGAAGGTGGGGTGTAGGGAACGGGGTTTTGCTCCCTACTGTCTGTATGGTCCAAGGGTGGTTGCAAGTCATGTGCGCTGCTTCCGCAAGCGGAGACTGTCTCTTTGCCGGCAAAGGAGGCCATACAGAAGAAGAGCGTTAAGGGGAAAGAAGCGGAGGGCGCTGTGCCACAGCCAGCAAGGCAGACCGCAGCACGACACGCCTTCCCCCGCCCTCCCGTGAAACCACCCAAACCCTTCAGGCCTGGCCCCCTCTACCTGCGGACGGCAGCTCCGCTTTCTCGGCAACCAGCTCGACAGCTGGTGGCGGTGGGGGGACCCCTAGGCCTCGTGGCCGCCGCAGCAGCTCCTCCAGCTCAAGCCGCTCCTCGCCTCCACACTGTACGGCCTTTCCCCAATACCAGCCGTACTGGCCACCGCAGCTAGGCTCCGGAACCGCCACCAGCCCTCCTACCCAACACCACCACCATCAGCCGCAGCAGCAGCAGCAACAGCAGCAGCGGCGGCAAAGCTCCGTTGACCGACGGTCAACTACCTCCCCCTCCTGGAGTACGACATCATGGGAGGAGGAGATGCGGAGTCGCTTGGTGGGCCTTTTGCCGCAAGCGGCCTGGCTTTTGGGTCGGCTGATGGATGCGGGCTTTACGGGCAGCCCACAGGAGCTAGAAGCGGCGGTGGAGAGGTGAGGACGGGATGGGGTGTACGGCGTTGGATAGGCGGCGATGGTAGGGAAGGAAAGGGGAGGCTGCCATGGTGTGTTGCGAGGCGGATTGATGTGGCTGTGGCGATGTGGGGAGGAGGGGACGCAGTCCTGTAGGGTGTGGTGTGTGTGTGTGTGTGTGTCTGTGTGTGTGTGTCTGTGTGTGTGTGTGTGTCTGTGTGTCTGTGTGTGTGTGTGTGTCTGTGTCTGTGTGTGTGTCTGTGTGTGTGTGTGTCTGTGTGTGTGTGTGTGTCTGTGTGTGTGTGTGTGTGTGTCTCTGTGTGTGTGTGTGTCTGTGTGTGTGTGTGTCTGTGTGTGTGTGTGTCTGTGTGTGTGTGTGTCTGTGTCTGTGTGTGTGTGTGTGTGTGTGTCAGTGTGTGTGTCAGTGTGTGTGTCAGTGTGTGTGTCAGTGTCAGTGTCAGTGTCAGTGTCAGTGTCAGTGTCAGTGTCAGTGTCAGTGTCAGTGTCAGTGTCAGTGTCAGTGTCAGTGTCAGTGTCAGTGTCAGTGTCAGTGTCAGTGTCAGTGTCAGTGTCAGTGTCAGTGTCAGTGTCAGTGTCAGTGTCAGTGTCAGTGTCAGTGTCAGTGTCAGTGTCAGTGTCAGTGTCAGTGTCAGTGTCAGTGTCAGTGTCAGTGTCAGTGTCAGTGTCAGTGTCAGTGTCAGTGTCAGTGTGTGTGTCAGTGTGTGTGTCAGTGTGTGTGTCAGTGTGTGTGTCAGTGTCAGTGTCAGTGTCAGTGTCAGTGTCAGTGTCAGTGTCAGTGTCAGTGTCAGTGTCAGTGTCAGTGTCAGTGTCAGTGTCAGTGTCAGTGTCAGTGTCAGTGTCAGTGTGTTATGGTGTATAAACACAGCCCACAAGCCCAGGCACACCCATATTCAACATTTACTTGGGCCGCTGTTGGGCTGCCGTTGCCCCTCAGGTACTGTCGTTTCCTGCTTCTAGCCCAACGATATCATTTCGAGGCGCTGCTGTTTCCGCCCGATGTGCTGCTGGTGTGGTGGGCGCATAAGGCCCACAGCAGCGCTTACTTGGCGGATATGGACCTGCTCATGGGCTGTCCCTTCGACCCGGTGCTGCCGGCGCTGGACGATGTATTGCTGGCCAGGTGCGTGCGCCTGTGTGTGCGCGCTACATCTGCCTGTCTGTCTGTTTGTCTGTCTGTCTGTCTGCTGTCTGTCTGTCTGTCTGTATGCATGTACGTGCACGTGTACGGGTACGGGTATGCGTCTGTATGCGTTCGGAGGGAAAAGATTTGTTGCTTGAGGATACGATATAATAAGGGACATCACCTTCACTTCCTAAACATCAAAACGCGCATGCGTGTTTGTTATCACATCGCGAGATGCGCGTGCGTGTGTGTGTATACGTGTATGTATGTATGTGCGCATATATGTATGTACATATGTACGCGGGTATGTTGTCCCGCCTCGCTGCTCCGAAACCAGCTGGCTGTCGCAACTGGGAGAGTCTCCATTTCCCCATTTCTCACTTGAGTCGCTGAGGGCTCTGAGCCGAGGGGCTAGCACCTCGCCTCCGTGCTTTTCGCATGTTTCCCCTCTAACCCTGGGGAGTCTCCCCGCGGGAAAAACACAATTCCCCGCCCTCCGTGCCGCCGCCAACCACATTCAGGCGAACCGCTGAACTGTACGAATTCGAGTTCGGCGAGCCGTTCAACTTATCCTTTCCAATCGCGTCCGAGCCCTTTGGCCTCTACGAGCCACGGCTCTCTGCCGGTACAACCGCCACCACAACTACCACAACCACCACCACAACTACCGCCACAGCGGAGCTATCACGGCGGCTGGAGCCGCTGCTCCGCTGCTTCGATGCCCCCCAGAACAACCCCACCTCCACCTCCACCTCCACCACCACGGAACATCATCAGACCGCAGGTTTCCAGGCGGGGTCATTACACAACTCCTCCCCAAGAAGCTCATTACGCAACTCGCATGATGGCGGCCTCAAAAAACAACCAAAACAGTATCGAAAACAAAAACAATATCAACAACAAAGACAACCGTATCCCCTTAGGTGTTCCAGCAGCGGGGCGGGCTCGCGGCAGCAGTCGAGCCGATGCTGTGGCGGGGCCAGCAAGGCAGCTACTAGGGCGCCGGCGTCCGCATCCGTTACCAGCCAAACTCGCGGCGCACAGCGCAATCCGAGCCGAGGTGGCAATGGCGGCCGCAGGTTGCTGCTGACGGGGCGAGTGGTGGCGGCGCTGGCCCGGGGAATCAGATTGCGGCTGCGGCAGGGCTGCTTTGGCGATCCGGGCTTCAGTTTGGAGCTGGCCGCGGCGGCGGCGGCGGCGGCGGCGGCACAGCCACAGGTGGCGGTGTCGGCCGGCAGAGCCGTCAGGGAGGCCTGGGATGGGCTACAAAAGGCGCCAGAGGCGGCGGCAGTGGCGGCGGAAGCCGTTGGAAATGCTGTTGTACGAGCAGGCAATGGTGGCGGCGACGCCACTGTCATGGTCGTAACGGCCACGTCCGACGTCGACGGCCCCGCTGCGACGGCGGCTGCGACGGCGGCGGCGGCGCCGCCGCCGCCGCTGCTGCCGCCAGCACCCGGGGCAGATCCAGGGCCATTAGTCGTGCCGCTTTGCAGTGAGATGCTGGCCCTGTTCAATCAGGCGATGGCGGCGCAGGGGGGAGCTTCGGGATGTACGGCGGCCTGTACGGGCAGACACCGATCCAGCACGGGAGCGCAGACGAGTCTGGCGGGTGCGCCTCTGGGGGCCGCACCTGACGACGTGCCGCGCGCCGGCGCTGCCGTGCGATACCTCGTGTGGCTTCTCGAGCGGGAGTTGGCGAGCACGGCAGCGGCTGGCGGAGGTGCTGAACCTTGCGGTGGCGGCGGCGGTGGCGGCGGTCGCTGGGGACTGGTGCGGCTGCTACCGACAGGAGGAGGGGGCCGAAGCTTGGCAGCACTGGCAACGGCAGCGGCAGCGGCAGCGGCAGCCACTATGACATGGAAGACGGGACGGAGCCGTCAGGCAGCAGCAGCAGCAATAGCGGCCGCGGCAGCGGCTGCTACTGCCAAGACGCTTGCTAAGGCAGCGGCGCGGCACGCGGTGGCGTTCACCACGTTCGGCAACTTGCCGATGAATTCGAACCATCCATTTTGGTATGACTGCTGCCCGGCCGCGTTTGTGGAGGAGCCGACGGCGTCGTCGACATCGTCGCTGGGCAACGGTATAGGATTGCAGCCAGTGACCAGCGCTAGGCTGAGCACGGTGCTGGAGACGGCGGCGTGGGATTCGGCCGTTGCGAAGGCGGTGTGCGCAGCGACGCGGGCGCCAAGGTGGCGATGAAGGCGGCGAAAGGAAGGTCAATAACGATCGCGGCGCCAGGGACAAAGGCCTGGAAAGGATTGCTGTCAGGGCGCAAAGAGTCCTGAAATGCACGAATGCAGGACGAGAAAAGGGGAGGTGAGATGAGCCAGGCCAGATTGGATAAGCCCCGCTGGATGCGGTGGGAGGGGGAGGGGGAGGAGGGCCAGTTCAGGGGAAGCCGCGTGCGAAGGTGATTTTGCTGGAGCTTTCTCAGGGTAGGACAAACGCAGAGGGAGGAACGATGGTTTACATGTTCGGCCGAGCAAGTGATTATCGACGAGCGCGAGCTTTTGGTTAAGCCTGATACGTTTAGGTCCACAGAGAGCATGGCTTCGATAGGATTAGGTTAAGGATTCGGTAGGATTCAAGTTAAGTTGTCCCGGCTTTTCCTGTGATGTTTTGGTATTTATGTGGAGAAGTATGATGATGTATGCTTCTCATGGTTGGCGGTAAATGATACGTAGACTGCGATTCGCAAAAGCGGTGAAACTGCGCGGTGGCGAAAGGCTTGGTTGTTTGGGGCTTCTTACCGTTGCAGCGTCCTTTGAGAACAATCATTATTAGCATGCGACACTTCCATTCCTTCTGGATGCGCAACATCTAGCTCCGGGTCCTTGGTGTTACCATATCCCTCTTTGGGGAAACCCTTTGCTAAATGACGCTCAGTTGGACGAACATTTTGGTGATCTTAGAAATTTGCGTGGGTTAGATACCGTAGGTATGGCCGTACGATGCCACACAGCTATGTCGTCTACGTGGAATTTGGTGCGCATGGTTGGTGTACAAGGCCTTACTGAGGCGCAACACTTTCATTGTACGAATCTGTTTCGTACTATCGTGGTACGGGGCATATTAGGGCTTACGCCGAGGCATCCCCTGCCGGCATCGTGTCAGTCGGGGGCGACTGCCATAACGCGTATATCGCAACTTATCGACCGCCTACCCCCGCAATGGACCATAGCGGCGATAGTAGCTATTAATGACAGAAACCATGAAATACCGCCTCCGCAAGAGGCCTGGAAAAGAATTGTCAAAAGCTTGGGATGGAGATTTGGTCAAGTGTTACTGCATTTCTCTCAAGTAACGGTTAAATTTGCGACGACTTTACTAATGGCACCTTCTTTACGAACGCTTGATATCAAACATGAAGATTTTATTTTGGATGCTGTTGATATCGTCTTATCGCCGGAGAACTTGGCCAATACTTTGTTGGAATTCCGTCGTACTTTGTCGCGCATGTGGAGACTTCGGTGGGATAACGAGCATAAAGAAGCCTTTTGGAGGCTGGCTCTTGATGGTTTCCCTGCCTTTCCTATGCATAGGGCGCAACGTCAAAGAGGTATCCCGGCTGCTATGTGCCCCTGTGGTGTACGCATGCTTTGTGGGGATCGTCGGCATCGTTTCTGGGATTGTACTGTCGCGTTGGCTCTTCGTGAAGCTCTGCAAAACGAACTTGAGTTCCCTGACCTTTTCAACCGGGCTAACCTGTGGTTGGGCATTCCACCAACCTGGATTTGTTCGTGTGTATGGGAGGTTGTATGCCTCGCGGCCATCAGCTCACTCAATCTCGGTCGCCGTTTGTTGTTTAAGGAAGGTCTCCAGACCAACATGCCTATATCAACGCCATCGCTTAACCGCATTACATACGAGGTTATCTCTGACTTTTGGGCCCGTTTAACTGCTTTTGCGGCACGGGATTACTTGCCAAAACATTGGGATCATGTACCTCACAATCACCCTTTCTTATATGTCAATGACGCAGACATGGTTGCTTGCCGTTTACCGATATACAATGACGAAGTTTGAGGGCGCACGTCGGAGCCTCAATTTTTTGTTTAAGCGTACTAACTGAGGCCGTGTGTCCAGTGAAGTTAGTACGGCCTGGCCGAGTTCTTTTTGAATAAGGCCCACAGTGTTGTGCGGGAGGCGTTCCTATGGGCGCTGCACTCGACCCGTTCGGGGTCCACTGTAACAATCGCATCTCCATTCCTAACATTTCATTCCATTATGTCCACGCATATTCGCATCTTGCTTTAGTCCACTTCGCGCGTGTAAAAGCCCTGGGATGCGGCCCTGGTGCTGCGAGCAGTCAGGGAATAATAGCGAATCCGGCCGATCGCTTGATAAAGCGTTGCCAAAGCATCCTTGTGAGAGACAAATGTGTTATAACGCACTTATGCACACAAGGAAGCGTGATGTGGTTTGCTGGTTGCGATCCTTTCCTGGGTCGCATTATGCTGCCAGGAGGCCGCGTTATGGTGTTCCGTGTTGCTAAAAAGTTTATAATCCCGCTGTGTGCATGCCCTGGTGTTAGGCATGCCATGACTGGTATTATCTTTGTGCGAGAAAGGACGTCTGCATTGCTTGTGTCGTTGTTTGATGAAGTTTACATTTCCGAAGGTATGAATACCTAGCACCCCGTCTCGACCACATGCCCGCACCCAAACATCGTTTAAATAGGCATATCCGTCGCAATAGTAGCGCATGCGAACGTTCCTGGGGCAGTTGCATGACGCATTGCTGCAGGTTGGAATAAAAGTCCGAATGACCCACGGGTCGCTTTGGTTGAGGAGCATTGAGAACTGCGATTTTTTCCGCGCGCGCAGCAGAGGCGGCGTCCAGCGACTGCCACCCAGGTCTGCTCTGCATGCCTCCGACCAGTTGCCCACCTACCGCCACAGAGGACGAATAGATTACTAGTTGGGAGTCGATTGCAGGAAAGGAGCTTTGGCTTATGGCCGAACAGTATTGTTTTCTGATGCTCCCGGAGGGAGGTAATGGTTGAAAGAACCATTTTGATGACTGTGCTGTTGAGGTTAGGAATATTCAAGTCGATACAAGGATGTGCTGGCCAAGGAGATGTTCGGCCCGCAATCCGCAGCAAGTTTGAGGGACATGCGTGCATCAGAGAGATCCACGAGGTGTGCTGCTGAGGATGATGTGAGGGACCCTCGTCCGCAGGGCACATGTGTGCATGCGAAACGAACAAAAATGTGAAGTAGCCGTACATGGTCCAATGTTTGGTGTCACTCAGGTGGAAAGAAATTCGCCCGTCGGCACCTTTGGCGGCCCTCACCCTTTTGAAAGAGCGGTCCGCAGACGTTTCCCTTTCACCGCCGGACTTCAGGAACTCAACCAGCAAAGTGGTACTAGGTGTTCTTCTGTTAGCTATCAAGTCAATTCAAACAGCAGCGAGGCCATCTGCTGGCCATCCTCCTTCCCCTCCGCGTTTTTTTTGCTTCTTGCCGCAAGGCTGCAAGTTTGTCGACTCACTGCACCTTTCGGTTCTTAACAGGTGAAGGCTTCCCTGTAGGGGCCGGCCAAGGAGGCGGCCAGGGCCCGCCAGGGCTGGGGAGCCCCTCATCGTTGCGCAAAAAAGTTCTGGCGCGCCGCCCGTGATTCCAACGAGGGCTTGAGGAGGGTAAACAACGAGGCCGTGCAGCTAGCGTCAGACATAAGCAGATACAGATTTCCAACACGATATTTCGTTCTGTTAGGTTCAGAGGAGCAAGTCAGCTAGCCAGGCGCCAACAGGGCGCGCTTTGTGGATTCGCTTGGTCGGTTTTGTTTGAGCAGACCGCGCTTTTTACGTGACCCGCTTTGTGAGTCCTCTCCTCAGCCTTTTCGTTTCGCCAACGCTAACACACCGAGCTCAACCTCAAGAACAAGAACAAGGAAACAGCAACAACCGTAAGCATCGATTCAAGAGTTAAGAGCATTTCGTTTCGCCAGCCAGCATAGCGCCAGAGCGAGCCGCGGCAGCGCTGTTTTTTTCTTATCAAGGCTCGCTCTGGCGCAGGACGGTCCTGCTCATCATCATCTTATCATCGACATCCAACATCAACGCCTGTGAACGGCTGCTACTATTGCGCGACCTTCCCCAGTATCTGCAGTTACCAGATAGCGTTTTTCCACTTCCCAAGTGGGTTCCTTCCCTTGCTTGCGAGTGTCGCCTCCCTCCGCAATAATCATTTTGTTGGCTGTCCGTCCGTCCGTCCGTCCGTCTGTCGGTCTGTCCGCCCGTCCGTTCGTAAATAAAGTGGGGACGACTTTCCTTCAGCGAGGAGACGACCCAACTCCCTCTTCGTCATCATCCTCCCTCCCTGTTTGAAAAATACATCAACGTCAGATCGAGTGCATTTTCGACAACACCAGCCCGCCCCGCTCAACGCCGCCATGATGATGCGGCAGTCGGCGTTCAAAGCGGCGTCCGCGCTGCCGCCCTCCGGCGCCACCGACTTCGCCGTCGTTGGCGGGGGGCCCCCAGGCTCCTCCGGCGCTGGCGGCCCCGCAGTCTTCACAGCAGCCGACCTCCAGTCCGCGATCGCGGCCCTGCAAATCCAACAACAGCAGCAACAACAGCAACAGCAGCAACAACAACAGCAGCAGCAGGCGACGGCCGCCGCGGCCGCCGCCGCCGCCGCCGCCATTGCCGCCGCGCAGGCGGCCGCCGCGGCGCAAGGCGGCGACGAGAGCGGTTCCTTCTTGTCCCAGCTGCCCTCCCTGACAAGCCCGGCACCTGGCGGCGGGTTCGGCCACCCAGTTTCCGTACTGTACGGCACTCCGCCGTCGCACCACTCCGCTGCGTCGATGCATTCGGGTCAGTTCGCGGCTCGCGGGCCACCGCCGCCGCCGGGGAGCGGCTCTGGCAGTAGCAGCGGCTACACAGCCGGCGTCGGCGTCGGCGTCGGCGGCGCTGGCGGCTGGGTGGGTTCGACGCCACCAGCGAGTCCGGCGGGGTCGCACGGCGGCTTCTTCACACCGCCTTCACGTGGTACGACAGCCCAACAGTTGTACACCGCGCCGCCGCGAGGTGGGTCGCGGTCTTGCCTTCGCCTTCCTGCACGCAGACTTAAGACATATCGTATAACAAATACACGTATGTTATACATTGTATATTGTATCTGTATATACATATATATTTTTTTATTTTTATATACATGTGTATTACATATATCGTAGCAGGTCGATGATACATAGAGAGCTCGCGGCCCATTTCCCTCGTTGGCTGCCGACGTGCACCGAAACACACACGCCGGTGCACACCGCCAAGGTGGGTGCATGTCTTGGCGGGTCCCGTAGCTGGACGTTCCCCTCCCCTCCCTCCGACACCTCCGAAACTTGGATCGGACATTTCCCTCGTGCATTTCCCTCCAGATCTTTCGATGGCGGAGACCCACGCGCACATACATACATACATACGCGTGTGGATACACATTATAAAGCCACGTTGCCGCATCGTTATCTGTTGTCCGTTATTGGCCCAACCACCCGAACCCAGGTCCGTACTCCAGCTTGGGAAGGGGTGGACCGCCGGGGGGGCCGGTGTACGACATGAAGAGGTACGGCAGCCCACGTAACTAATTTGAAAATGCCGCATCAGCTCTCTCTCTCTCTCGTATCGATACGTACAGGTGCATAAGTTTCTGTTGCATGAATTTATGGTGTGAACGGAAGATGAATGAATGTGCTGCTAACTTTGAACATTTGAAGAGTTGCAAACGTCATGTTGATGTTGTTACAGGGTGGTTAAGCTTCACCAGTGGCCTCCTTCCCGAGGCAATTCCCTGCCCTCCCCTGCTAGAGGGGCACCATAAGCCATTCACCCCATCCGACTTCATGTTATATGGAACGGTGTTCAAATGGGTTTTTCAAATGTTCTAAGAACTGAAGTATCGTGATATATCCAGTTCTTTTACCACACAGTTCTTTTACCAGAAGAATCTCGAGATATCCTCTATTGAATGGATAGGATAGTGCACATGTAGTTCGCAGGTAGTTGTACGGCACAGTAGTACGGCAACAATTTTCTTTTGAAAGGAAACGGGCGTTGTCATGCTTGGCCTTTCGTTCGTACAAACTTAGCTCTGTACTCAGCTGTGTACGGTACGTTGTCGTACTGCAGCCTGACTGCGGCCGTGAACACAGCACCTGGAGGCACTGGCGAGATTCGGCGCATCTTCACGGCCGCCACCTTCCGCCCCCGACTTCCTGGTGAGGTCGAAATCCCCAGCGGGGATGTGCGTGTGTGTATGTGCGTGTGTGTGTGTGTATATGTATGTATGTATGTATGTGATGTATACATATAGAATTGCTACAGAGTGGGAGAGGCTTCTGGGCCATTTGTCATTTCTACGTATACATATGTGTGTGGGGGGGGACGGGTAAGGGGAAATTCCAGGATATGGGTTTGAGGGTTTGGGTGGCTGGGTGGACAAGGATTGAAAGAAATTCTTGATTTGTCTGCAAGGGAGGGACAACTATAAATGTGCTGCTGTCGGGAAACATATCTTGTTTTGTAATGTTGTTCATGGTGCCTCTCGTATGACCTTAGAAGATCTGCAGAATGGAGCCGCGGCATGCGGCGCCTGAATTTCGTTTCCTCCCGTCAGCTGCCTCTCCTCCCCCTTCCGCTGCGAAGGGGACGAGGGGCGGCTCAGGCGGGAGAGACTCCACACCGGCACGCATTCAACCACCCCAACCCGAGTACGGCATTTTAATCCTCCCCGCAGTAGCCCCCCCCCCCTCACACACACACGCCCGAGGGTTCCATCCCTTCAACGATCACATATCAGGCTTCCGGCCCCCACCCCCCGCCCGGCCACCCCCCCCCATGCACATCCGAGGCTGGTACCACGACGTGGTAGTTGGTTTTGGTTGGTTGTAATCTAACGACAACAACAAACTAGGTTGGGGGAGGCTAGCCTATCCGCAGGCTGGCTTCATCTACAGCCAATCGTCCGGCCATCCCTTTTCTTGGTTACCCTTCCCCCGCTCCCGCCCCCTCTCCCTCCCCCTCTCCCCCCACTCCACCCCCCTTCACTCGCTGTTCGCCCACCCCTCCCCCCTACCCCCCCACACCCCCACACTCAGGCCTTACTAAGCTGGTCAGTCAACTCACCAGGGAGGGTCAGTGGTCCAAGGGGCTGGAGGTGTTTGACGCGCTGGACTGCGTGGGCCTTATGCCGGACACCACCATCACCAATGCCGCCATATCGGCTTGCGACAAGGGCGGGCAGTGGGAGAAGGCGCTGCAGGTGAGGTGCATGTCTGTATGTCTGTATGTCTGTATGTGTGCATGTATGGACTTAAGAGCTAAGATAAAGATTACTTTGATAGGGAGGTTGTACGGTAGTTAGTTGGAGGCCTGGGAACACACAAGACGAAGAGGCCCGAGGCAGTTTATGTCTGTGCGCATGTGCGTATGTCCGTCGCTTTTGGAGGTGGTTTGGGGGCCCAATGCCTGCAAGAAGAAGGGCTTGGGGGGGGGAAAGTGGGGAAAAGTGAGGGGGGTGGGGGCTTGGTCTAACTACCCAACTAAGAGCCGCATATGAAACGTCACCGTGTTATATCGCACCGTAAGTGGCTTCCTTCCGCCCGTCCGGGAGCACGATCTGCTGTTGCAAGTCCGTCCCCTCCCTACCTCCCCCTTCCCCCCTCCTCCCCCCTCCCGCCCGCCCATCGTTTTTCTTTTTGATGTGGAATAGGAAATAATGCGCCATTCCCTCCCTCCCTCCCTCCCTCCTACCCACAACACACACATACACACATACACACATACACACATACACACATACACATACACACATACACACATACACACATACACACATACACACATACACACATACACACATACACACATACACACATACACACATACACACATACACACATACACACATACACACATACACACATACACACATACACACATACACACATACACACATACACACATACACACATACACACATACACACATACACACATACACACATACACACATACACACATACACACATACACACATACACACATACACACATACCCCCCTCTAGATATTCTACGCGATGGAGGCCTGGGGGCTAGCTCGTGATGCCATCACCTACTCCGCGGTCATCTCCGCCCTGTCCAAGGGGCGGCAGTGGTCCCTGGCCATCGACGTGTTCAACCACATGTGCGACCACAACATCGAGTGTGACGCAGTCACTTGCTGCTCCCTCATCACTGCTCTGGACAAGGGAGGCCAGTGGCAGCTGGGAGAGCAGGTGGAGTGGAGTGGAGTGGAGCGTTCAGGGTTCAGGGTTCAGGGTTCAGGGTTCAGGGTTCAGGGTTCAGGGTTCAGGGTTCAGGGTTCAGGGTTCAGGGTTCAGAAGGTTTATTGAAAAGATTTGTTTTGGGTTTCATCTTGATTTATTTAGGCGGACCTCCTCTGTTTGTTAGGTTGTTAGGGAAGAGAAGGGAAGGATGTTGGGCATAACGGGCGGGCGGATGTAATGTCGGTTGGGAGTTGGGAGTTGTACGGTAAATGAGGTATCGGCAAGGAAGAAGTGTTTTTGACGCGGCCCCCGACATGTGTGTATGTCTGTATGTATGTGTGGAACGAAACATATTTGTCGCAGGTCTTCTTTCAAATGTACGCCGATCATCCGCAATTTAAAGTGTTGCTACAGTGCATGGACGACGACGTTGCGGCGGTGGCGCCGTCGGTGTGTACGGCAGCTGGCAGCGGCGGAGCTGCCGCTCCCGTCGGTGCTGGCGGCGGCGGCGCCGCATCAGGCGCTGCTGGCGGCGTCGGCGGCGGCGGCCTATCGCGCACCGCCTCCGCTGCCGCCGAGACGCTCCTGTCTGCCCTGACGGGGCCGCTGCAGCGCAATACGCGCGGCGGCGGCGGCGGC